TAACTTTTCACTTGTGGTTCTTATGAAAATAATCCATGTATGGGACATGGTGCTTGTGTTGGTCCAAATACCTGTGTCTGTAACTCAACTCAAGCAGGTGGTTTCTGGGCTGGCTCTAATTGTGAAATTTGTCAACCTAATTATGGAGGTGCTGATTGTAAGAGTTTAGCTTGTAATGCTAATGTTACTTGTTTGGGAAGAGGTACTTGTAATGCTGATACTACTTGTAGTTGTACTGGAAACTTTGCTGGTCCTTTCTGTAGAACTTGTATTGCTTCTTGGTATGGACCTAGTTGTAATGTTACTTGTGATCCAATGAAGAAATGTAGTGGAAATGGTTTCTGTACTGCTAATGGTGCTTGTTCCTGTATTTCCAACAACTTGTTGGGTATGTATGCTGGTGAATCTTGTAGTTCATGTGCCTCTGGTTGGAGTGGATCCAAATGTAATATCAAACTTGGTTCAAGTGCAACATTTGGTTCTATTGGTGATAGAGTTTCATTCGAATTTGCATTCCCCTCATTAACTAACAACATTGATTGTGCTGTTGTTTTATCTGAATCATCATTGAAGGCTGTTGGTTCTGCTCCAATTTGTAGATGGGATGATCGTTCAAAGAATTCATTCCAAATCATTTTGGGTAGTGCTGCTTCTCTTTTGCCAGGTGATGCTCTCCAAGTTAAAAATAATGACAATGCATTTGGTTCAGTTTCAGTTACTAGTAGTGGATCTTCATTCTTACCTCCAAGTGCTGAATTGCGTGGTCCAAAGAATGTTTCTTCATGTACTACTTTCTTATTTGATGCTTCTGCTTCAGTTTCTGTTGATAGAAGACCTTTGAAGTTTGTTTACTCAATTTCTGGACCTGGTTCATTAACTGCTGCTTCTGCTTCATTGGCTCTTGTTGGTGGAAGTTTTGGATATTTGGACGCTTCTTTATTATCAAATGGTGAATTTACCATGTCTGTCACTGTTACAAATGGTTTCAATTTAACTGCCATTTCTAGTTTCAAGTTTACTGTTTCATCAACTCCATCAGTTATTGTTCGTATTCCAGGTGGTGCTTCTCAATCTGTCAATATGGGTAGTTTATATTCTATTCTTCCAATTGTTGAATATCCATCTTGTTTCTTCAGTGATCGTACTTTGATTTGGACTTGGTCACAAGAATCTGGACCAGCCACAGCTACTATGACATTAAGAGATAACAATAGAGTTGCTATTTTCCTTGAAAATGCTTTCCCATCTGCTGGTACCTATTCATTCAAGGTTAGAGCTGTTGCTAAGGCATCACCAGCTTCATCCTATGAAACTACTGTTACTTTGCAAGTTATTGCTACCGATCTTGTCTTGATGATTACTGGTGGTACTACTAGAAAGGCCTCTGTTACAACAAGTTTTGCTATTGATTTCACTAGATCTTATGATCCAGCTAGAGATGCAAGCACTGATACATTCTCAGCAACATGTACCAATTTATTAACCAATTCTGCTTGTTCATACAGCATGTCAGGTGTTATTTCTAATAAGGTTGCTACATTCCCTGCTGCTTCATTACCAGAAGGTGAATATTCAATTGTTATAACCTATACTAAGGGATCAAGAACTGCATCACAAGAAGTTTATGTTTCAATGGTTGGTTATGCAGTTCTTACTGCTAGTATTAGACTTACTAGAAATGATTGGATTCCATCATCAATTCCACTTGGTGAAAATATTCCACTCATTGTTGATGTATTGAATTATGTTCCAGCTCAAGAAAATCCTATCAATTTCACTTGGTCTTCATTGACTGAAGGTTTCACTTTGAGTGAAGGATCAACAACTATTTCAAAGACAAGTGGTCGTTCATTGCTCATCTCTGGTAAGGCACTTTCTGCCGATACTACTTATTCAGTTCGTGTTGATGTTTCTACTCAAAATGCAGGTGGTTACTCTGTATTCGAATTTACTGTTAACAGCCCACCATTGCCAGGAGCCATTAGTGCCAGTCCTGCAAGTAGTACTGCTGGTCTTGATACTGTTACCGTCACATGTAGTGGATGGTATGATTCTAACTCTCCATTGACTTATCAATTCTTCTTCTATGATGCCATTCGTGGAATCTGGAGTACATTGTCTGGTAGAACTACTGATAATCAAGTTCAAGCTAAATTGCCACCTAGTCCAGCTGCTGATAAGAAATTGAGAATTAGAGCTAGAGTATTCGATTCAAAGAATGCTTTCAGTGATATTGAAACAAGTGTTATTTCTAATCCTCCTGATTTGACAAGTGGTTCAGCTGCATTGAATTTCCTTAACCAAAGTGCTAACGTTGCTGATTCTACTGCTAGTAGTGCTGCTGCAGTTTCTTCATTGTCTTCAATTTCTAATCAAAATTTGGCAGCTGAAGTTGTTACTCAAGTCAAGGCTTTCCTTGTCAATGTTATTAGTTCAGTTTTGAGTAAGCAATCTCAAGTTGCTGTTAGTGTTGAAGATGCTGCTGAAACCATTTCATTCATTTCTGCTGCAGTTAATAGTTTGGATTTGGTTGATTCCAATACCAGAGGTCAAATGTTGCAATCTACTGCTTCGTCATTGACTGCTTTGGCAAATTCTGATAAGCCAATTTCAAGTGATCTTGCCAATTCAATTGCTTCATCCTTATCAAACTTTATTAAGAATATCTTATCCAGCTCTGGTATTTCTACAAGAAGTGCTAAAGCTTTGAGATCTCTTGCCACTGATTCACAATCTGTTTTGGACAGTGCTGCTAGTTTATTGGCAGGCATGAGTAAGAATCAACTCCTCGATCAAGCAGCTTCAATTTCCTCAAGCAGTGAATTTATTGTTTATACCAAGAAGATTTCTGCATCTTCTACTGCTTCTTACAGTGAAGTTATTGCTAATAATACTCAATATCAATTGCCTGCTAACTTTACTGCTGGCTTCTCCTCATCGATTACTTCAATTGGTGTTAATATCAAGCAATTGAGCAATTTGTATAAGGCAATTTATTCTCAAAGTATGACCATTATGTCCAAACTCTTTGAACTTAGCTTGGAAAATGCTGATACTGGTGCCAAGCTGAGCTTGAATGGAGTGAAGATTGGAATTACTCTTAGTGGTAACTTTACTTTGGGTACAAGTACTTCCAAATATGATTGTTTGCTTTGGAATAACTCAACCAAGGTTTTCAGTAAGGATTCATCTTGTAGTGTTTCAATTGTTTCTTCCTCTTCTGCCACTATTCAAGTTTCACAAAGTGGTACCTATGCTGTCAGTAGATCTATTGCTACCGGTACTTCTACTGTCACTCCAACTGCCTCAAAGAGTACAACTGTTATCACTCCAAAGACCTCTAAGAGTAAGGTTATCAGTGCTGGTTCAACAAACTTTGCTGGCTTGTTGGCTATTGTATTTTCTGTATTGTCTGTATTCTTGATTTAATGAGAATGTAATAAATTAACAACCATTTCATTTATTCTGTTTCCCATTTCTTTTGGTATTCCTCAATAATCTTAATTGCCTGTTGTACCGCTTCTACATCTTTTAGGTGGTCAATAATATCCAAAGCAGAAGTATCACCACGAATTTTATAAGCAAGGTCTGGTCTCTTGTCTAACATTTTTCTCAATACTCTAAAATATTTTTCTTCATTTTCTACAAGATTAGCATCAGCATAAGCAATGGAATAGAAAAATCTCAGAAGTGGATCAGTGTTGACTATGTCAGCAATTTCATAATTGAAAAAATTATCCATTCTATCAAGTAGAAATTCGATCTTTGACATGAAGTCTTCGGTCTGTGGATAATAATAGTTCATATAACCATATGGCAGTGCGTGCATGCCACTGGTTATTTTTTTCTCCAAAGATAATCCTCTTGTATCTGTAAAGTATTTACATAGTTCAACATTTGGGGTACATGCGGCACAGAGGAATGCAAATTCATCATCACACTTTTCACCAGAAACCTCCTCATATAATTCAATAAGGTGAATAAGCTTTCCTGTATCTATTACATCTCTCCTCAGAGAGGAGGTGAAATCTGAAACTTTACAGACATTATGATAACTATACAAAAGCTTTGATACAAAGTTAGAACCCTCTGGAAATCCCCAATCTTTTGAAAGTCAAAAAATTAATACTAAATTCTACATACCTCTAATTGCCTTCTCGAAGAGCTCCATAGAAAGTTCCATACCTGTATAGTAATTTCTACAATCAATTATTGAGTTGGCCAATAAATCTTCATCACATTTAAACTTGGCATGGTTCTTATTCCTCAATTCATGCATCAAGGATGGAAAAATCACAACCATACTATTCAAGAAATACATAATATTTTCCACTGGATAGGATTTGTTCATAAATGACGTCATTAATTTTTTGCAAAAATCAAGTGCATCTCCGTTCTTCACAGAAATGTCACGATATTGTCTTTCAGAATCAGTTCTTTTACAATCATCCTTGATGGAAACGAGAAGTGAGTGTACCAAATCAAAATTCATAGATTCAACAGCTACAGGAAGGCATTTGTAAGCATCAATAGGATACTTGTATTTTGAGGTGTCTGTCAGTATCCTCACTGGCTCCAAAATATTTGCAACTGCATTGTTAAATTCTTGATAGAGTTCTTCTTTAGGTTTTGAAAGTTTGAAAAAATACTTTCTCAATTTTTTCATCATTGAGGATAAATCTGCCTCAAATTTGGTTGCAAACTGAGCTGTACAATTTTTTTGTAACATGTAATATTGATCTGTGATAGCAGACTCTGAGTCTGGCACCAAATTGGAATCAACAAAGTCAATAAACCGTTTCCATTTCTTTTTCAATGGGTTTTCATCAGTCAAAATATTCTCATCATTAACTGCATAATTAGTCCTTTCATAATTACAAGATATGAGCTCCATCAGTTTCTCAGTCATTTTTCCAATTCTTAAACCTTCAATTTCCTTTTTAAAGATTGTATAGAAACGGAATCCAGTATAAAAATCAATACCTTGTTCTCTATCATCATCTCCTCCGTGTTCACAAACCTTCTCTCTGGTGTACAATTTTTCAGCCTCATCAACATGACTCTTTGCAAGTAATTTTAATTTTCTAATTGTTCCCTTTGATCTAGAAGTTGACAAGGCTTGTTGATTATCGGCCAATCTTTCCTCCTCACTCTTAATTCTATCCGATAAATGGAATGCAAACCTCATCCGCCACAAGGCTTCATATCTTGCCACACCCAACCAATGTCTATTCAATTGTAGCAAATTTGCTACATCACTAGTCTTGGGACAATAGAGAAAAATTGAAAAGATCAAATCTTCGGGAAGTTGATTCATTTTTTTGTGATGATTTTCGCAAGTTTCCATTTCAAATGTGAAGATTACATCATGTTAATATGATGGATAACAGTTTTTTACTATTTCTTTCAAAAAATTCACGTTTTGTTAAACCATCTTGTAATAGAAAAATATTCAACTTTTTTCATGTTTGAGAATCCTTATTAGTTGAAGAGGTAACGAAATCTATATTGTAAACTCTGTGCCATTTGAAGGAGTTTGATGATTTTTCCTCCGAATTGATAAAAAAAATGCAAAACAACAACGAACATCATATCATTGTGTTGGATGGAGACAATTTGACCTGTGAGCAGTTATATCAAATTGGTTACGATATTAAAACTAGAATTCAATTATCGGAGGAAGCAAAGGAACGTGTTGTGGAGGCTAGAAAAATTGTTGATGATATCATCTCTACTGATCAGGTAAAATATGGTATTAATACAGGTTTTGGTAGTTTTGCTACAACCGTTATTGCAAAGCAAGATATTGAAGATTTACAAAAGAATTTAATTCGTTCTCATTCTGCTGGTGTTGGAGAGTACTTATCTTTGGAAAGATCTAAAATGTTGTTGGCTCTCCGTATTAACGTTTTGGCAAAGGGTTTCTCTGGTATTAGATTGGATACTGTTGAAAAATTGGTAAAGGCTTTTAATGCTGGATGCATTTCTGCTGTTCCATGTAAAGGAAGGTGAGTATTAGTAGTGTGTTAATAATTTCATATATATAATTTATATTTATGATGATGATAATTAATAATCTTTAAATATTATTGTGGAAAATTATAATGATGTGGATAATTTCTAACATATAGTGTTGGTGCATCTGGAGATTTGGCTCCTCTTGCTCACATGGCTCTCGGAATGATGGGAGAAGGATTAATGTACAATCCTTCAACAAAGACCTATGAGGATGCTGCCAAAGTACTCAAGGAACACGGTTTGGAACCTATTCAAGTTCAAGCTAAGGAAGGTTTGGCTCTTATCAATGGTACTCAATTCATTTGTGCTTTGGGTACTGAAGCTTTGGTTCGTTCTGTTAATGCCACTCGTGTTGCTGATATTGTTGGTGCTATGACTTTGGAAGCTCTTAGAGGTACATTCAAAGCTTTTGATGCTAGAATTCATGCTGCCAGACGTCACACTGGACAAGTTAAAGTTGCTGGTAGAATGAGATCCCTTTTGTTCTCCGAAAAGAGTACGTTTTAACAAAATAATATTTATTAACTTGAAACAGCTGTTGGAAATGAAAAGAAGTTTGAAATTTCTGAAATTTCAGGAAGCCATTTGAATTGTTCAAGAGTCCAAGATGCCTATACATTGAGATGTATTCCTCAAGTGCATGGTATTGTCAACGACACTGTTGAATTCTGTAAGAATATTATGGAAAATGAATTAAATGCAGCCACCGATAATCCAATGGTATTTAGTAATAAGAAAGGAAGTCAGGTTCCAAACTCGCATCACATACATTTAGATGATGAAAATTCTCGTTCAGAATTACATTTGACAACTTCTTTGGAAAATGACGAACAAATTGTCAGTGGAGGTAATTTCCATGGTGAATATCCTGCTAAGGCTATGGACTTTTTGGCTATTGGTATTACTGAATTGGCAAATATCAGTGAAAGAAGAATTGCTCGTTTAATTGATGGTAACTTGAGTGGTTTACCAGCATTTTTGGTTAAAGATGGAGGTCTTAACTCTGGTTTTATGATTGCACACTGTACAGCTAGTGCATTAACCAGTGAAAATAAGGTTTTGGTGCATCCAAGTTCCAATGATACATTATCTACATCTGCTGCTAAGGAAGATCACGTATCTATGGGTCCATTTGCTAGTCTTAAATGTCTTGATGTTGTCAAGAATGTTGAATATGTTTTGGCAATTGAATTAATGTGTGCTTGTCAAGGTGTTGATCTTTTAAGACCTCTCAAAACTACGCCAATTTTAGAAAAGGTTTATCAATTGGTTAGATCAGTAGTTCCAAAATATGAAAAAGATAGATTCCTTTCACCAGATATTGAAAATATTTGTCAACTCATCAAGAGTGGAAAATTGTGGGAAACTGTTAAGGACGACCTTGAAACTTATATGCATTAAATTTTGAAAATAAAATTTTTACTTGAGTTTTCGTTAATTTTTTGCATCCAAACAAACCTCTAAATGCTGGTAAAAAAATCATCAAAACGCACCAACAAATAAAATAAAATGGCGTTCCTACACAACACATTCACCAACCACACAATAACAAAGCCAAAAAGAAGAATGCATCAGCAAACAGAGAACATGAAAGAGCTATCCATTCGATGTTATAAATTTGATCCCAATAATTTCCTTGGATACGGTAAAGTTTCTTTGCGAAAATGTGCTTTGGAAGAAGTGGAAATATTACAAAGAATTAATAACAGTTTTTTGATGCAAAATATTGGAGTTTACCATTTGGAAGGAGAGGGTGACAATGACGATGTTTTTTCAATACAAGTGATCGGAATTTCTCTCAACGATACTCAAGAAATTTATTTGCCTCTCTATCCTACAGAGGTGAGTTCTCTGCTAGGCTTTGAATTTTCTTCAAGTGTAAGTTGTGTTATCTTGTATGACACTGATCAACAATCAAAAAAGACTGTATCTTGGAACAAGGTGAAGGTTCTTAAAAAAATTGCTTTCAATTCTTATGATATGTTAATCAAGATAGTGAAAGACAAAACTGAAATGCACGACTTGACTTTTGTACCATTACCACAGGAAAGAATTCTTTTTGTGAAAGGCCTGGATCAAGCATTAAGTGTTGAATTGTCAGATCAAATTTCTAGCATCCTTCATATTTCAAATTGTCAACATAGAGATCTTCAAAGATTGGCTTATCATTTAAAGAAGAATAATGAAATTTCACCAGAATCCTATGAATATTATATTTCTAATCTTGATGATAAATCAGGAATTGATAAATTGGACTCTAGTGATGATATTAATAAGTTTATTGAGAGCTCAAAGTGCCAAGAGCCAGACTTTCAACGAATATTAGCTCTTACTTCAACCATCTCTTGGAATAGTATCAGTGCATATTTTATGAAAAGAATATTATACGAAATTTCACGGGATATTAAAAATTTAGAAATCATTCAACGAGCATTCTCAAACCAATACAAGAATTTAGAACTAACTGATAATAGAGACAAGGGACTAGATTCTCAATACTTTGACACTAATTCTCTGTATATTCTACCATGTTATTATGTCCCTTCTAAAAATGTAATTCAGGACTCTTCCAATAAGAAAGCTAACAAAATCTCAAGAAGCGAGATTAATAAGGAAGAGGATGTCACTTTTGAAATGAAAACCAGAGTTATGAAGAAAACTACTGACATGAAACAAATAGTTAAACAATTAAGATTATATGAAGCTAGATACCCATCAACTAACGAATTGAATTACTATATTGGAATATCTGTTAATGAGGAAATATATTTTCCACGAAAGAAAGAAGATTTTATCAAGATATTGAAAGATAATATTAGTGATTGGAAGATTGGAAATAAGGATGGACGTTATGGAGTAAAAGCTTGTGGTAAAAGATTTAAATTGAATAACAAGACCTATACGAATACTGAAAGACATCAAATGCCAGATATTTTCGAATATTCTTCAATGGTTCAAAGGAAATACTTTAATGGAATGAAATCTTTCGATCTGGTCATTAGTAAGGATGACCTTGCAGTTCAAAAGGTAATACTGAGTAGAGATGATGGTTTTGAGGCTCCAGAAAAATATAGAATCATTTCTACTGTTGTAGAAAATTCAAAATGTGTGGATACTGAATTTGTCAAACTTGTGTCTTCACTTTGGAATCAGGATTCATTATCTCAGGTTTCACTTGTTACATATTGTAAAAATAACAATTTGGACATTGAAAAAGTAGAAAAATTGAGTGCTGGAACAGATCACAGACAAGTTATCAAGGTTTCCTCTACTGTTGCGCCTGACTTTTTACTTTTAGTCCAATTACTTGCCCGTGTAAATACTCCCTACTTGCTAGATTATTGTAGATACTTTTTCACATCAATACCAAAATTATTCGATGACAGAAGGAGTGTTTCTAATTTCTTTGTGTCTATTTTGGAAACAATTCGGAAGAGAACAAAATAAAAAAGATGGTAATAATTTAATAATTAAAAGGAGAAGATTGTTACTTGTTTTTAATATTGTATTACATATTGATGATTGATGTACAGTTTTTATTATTTGTAATTTTAAAAAATTTGAAATTAAAAAAAAATGTTCGCAACTAAATTCTTGCGCGCCGTTGTTGCAAAGAAGAGCGTTCTCTCATCATGCTCCAAGTTTTCATCATCTTCCGTAGCTTTCACTCATCATCATAAATTTGCCAGTGTTAGACTTTTCTCAACAAACAATGTACATAGAGAACAAGACTCTGAAGTCAGAGGTATTATAACTCCTGAATTATTCACAAAAACTCGCCAAGAATTGAGACAACTCTTCACATCAGAATTGGAGAAGATTGTTACAAAAATAACTCAAGAAGAAGGATACACTCCAAACGACGTATATAATTTTGCTTTGGGAGAACAAAGTTTGAGATTTAAAGTTTTCAGAACCGCTATGGTTCGTTTCGGAAGAGAAATTCCTAATGCTGATTTACCTAAAATTCTCAAGGTTAAGGACCTCGTGGAATGGTTCATTGTTAAACTTGAAAAGGAGAGACCACCACAAACTTATGAAGTCCCAGAAAATGTTAAATTATTCGTTGAAAAGCATCAAGGAGCAAAGAATAGAAAGATAAACGAAAAGGGAGCCTTTGTTGAATCCCAACAATAAAACAACAAAATAAAAGGAACCGGTTTATTATAATTCGGAAAGAAAGGAAATATGTAAATTGACACCAAAACTTCCATCAATTCGAGAACAAAAACCCAGTAAAGATGTTTGAAACATAAAAGCTTGTCTGTTTTGAAGTGGTTGAAGCAGGCTTCCAACAATAACAAGAACAAAAAAATGTCTCAACAAGAGAACCTTGAAGAAATCATTTTACCAAGTTCCCTACCGTTTATTAAATCTATCAACCAACCCTTGAAAAAATACTTGAATGAAGAGGAAACCCTGCGATCAGCAAGTCAAATTCTCTCATTGATCAACTTTTCGGAATGTGCAAACCAAACTCTCCAACAAGAGGATGTTGAGAGTATTTGTGCTCTATTGGATATTATTAAAAACATTTTGGATGTAACTGGAAAGGATATGGTTGCTAACAAATTACTAACTTCAAATACTATTTCGGAATTGATTTCCACTATGTTTAAATTTCTAATTGACATTCATTACACAACAGTTTTAGAGGAGAGTGTTCTGAGTGCTTTATTAGAAAGCCAAGAGTTTTTATTATCAAACTTTCCATCTACTTTTGAGAATTTCATTGGTGACATTACCAATGTTATTCCTCAACTTTGCCAAATTTATTTATCATTCTTTCCAAATAATGGATCTAAAGAATGCCTCACTGAAACAGCATCTATCATGTTCTTACCTAATATCTGCAAATTTACTGTTCTTCACATTCATTCAGCAGATCAATGTATAGTTATTCAAAAATATGCCACTAATATTTTAAAAACCCTAGTCGGTAGACACCCAATTATTGCTCAACACCGAAATGTTTTCAATAATATTTGTAACCAAATTAGATATTCGAGTAATGAAATCAAATTACTTTCTATGGAAATAGTAACACTGATTTCTTCCACACAATCATTTGATCCAACAATTCACAAAAATCTTATCAATTTAATTATCACCTTATTGAATGGTTATTATGGGATGTTTCCATCGTATAGAACATTGGAGTTTGATGATTTATTTGCTGATTTGTTAAATTCTACAATGGACGAAATGATTTTAATCCTTTCCTATTTTGGGATTGAAAGGATAGAAATGATTAACACTATTACTAGTTATTTATACTGGAATATTAGCAATTCTAAAAGTGAAAAATTTAAAAAACAAATCATTAACATACTATGTGTATTCATCGATAAGTACAGTATGACAGACTTGGAATTAGTTCTAAAAGGTATTGAAGCTATCAAAGAATGTTTTCAAAATCACATTTTCCCAAATAATGAGGATTTTATTGATCTAATTAAGAAATATCTGTCAATTCACTACTCTTCGAACGCAACCAAAAGAAAAGAGTCTCAAACAGATTCTCAAGGCAGTAAGAGAAGAAAAATAGAAGAGGGAGATTTTAATGAGGATATTAATTCGAGTTTTAATTCAGCTGAATTCCCTTCACATGAATTTGGTAACAATTTTTATCTTATCGATTCAGAGTATGGACAAATACTTTTTGAAACATTACAAAAATATGTATCAAAATGCTCTGAAAACGATGCTGATATGACAGAAATGTATATTTTATTAATGGCCCTTTGTCCTTTTGGGCCAGTAAAGGATAGTTTGGCTCTTATTGACCTCATTCACTCATTGATTGATTATACCAAAAATTGTACTGAAGTAAGTTCTCATTAGATTCAGAAGTTAATCATTGATAGTACTCAAAACATCCAATTATCATGATAGACAATTTATTCCAAAATAATATTCCACAACATCTTGACCCTGAAAGAGTTAATGAATTGAGACTTTATTGTATCAGTAGAGTAGAATTATATGCTAAAGAAATGGAAGAAGATATTTTGGTGTTAGCACTGAAAAATATTATTCGATTTTATCAATTAACTCTTGATGAAACATGTAAGACAGTAGTTTTAGAACAACTAGAACTGAGTGAAGCATCAGTAAAAGCAGTGATAAAGTGCTTCCCTGAAATTGTTAGGTTCAAAATGTTTGACCTAGCAGAAGTAAGCCATCACCTAAGGAAGCTCTATTCTCGTGCCAGTTGTAGGCCAATCATATGCGAGGTAATACAAGAAACCATTCAAGAAAGTTTAAATAATTCCGTTTTTAGACTAAGTGATTGGGATTTTATTTTGGAACCTTCTGAGGTTGAAAAGAAAACACAATTACAATTACTCAAATGTGTTGCATTCTTTATTGAAAATATAAGAAAAGAGGAAATTGATTTACACTTTGAAGATATGGTCAGGTATATGAAAATGATAATGCATAAGGACATTGAAATTGTTGCTTTCGCAACATCAATTTTCTCTATATGGATAACTCCAAATAGAAATCTAGTAGTTCCGATTGAAAGTATTTACCAACTACATGATGACCCTTTTAATTTTTTTGTAGACGAAATCAAAACATTCCTCAGGAAAATTTATGAGGAAAACACAGATAATCAAGAGATGACTCTCAAATACTACTTTTATATCATTCCATTACTGAAACTCATACTGGATAATTGCCCAAAGACATTAAGAAATGTCCTATTTTTCTTTACTGAAGTATCTCTAGATTTTGATCAATCATCAATTGTTTACATATCTTTGAAGAAACTAGCCGACAACAAAGGAATTTTAAAGTATCTTTCATCATCAATAGGAGACGAGTTCTTCATGACTCTATTCGCATATTGGGTTAAGTATTTCAATCAGAACAAATTACAAAACATTTTATCTTCCCTATTTGATATGGAGTTTTCAAAAATAGCTTCAAAAATATTAAAGCATGTCCTGCCAGAGATGGCAGTAGAGGGGGAGTTATTACGTTTTCGTAATCAAATATTAGTACTATCAAATAGTAACGAATTTTCTACTATTATCATTGAACATATTGAGAATATTATTACAGAATTTATCAAAAAAGACAAAACTCCACTAGAAAGTTTTGAAAAATTTATTAAGGCCGCTGAAATTACAAAAGTTCAAGCCAATTTAGTTATATCAACAGCCTTTAAAAATATTATTATGAAACTTCTTAATAATGAACATAAAGGAAAAGTGAAAAAACTTCTAAATAGTATTGGTGACAAAAAGATGGTGCAAAAGGTATTACAAGGGAATATTTCTGGTATTTTAATCAAAATTTCGAAAGTTTTCAAAGATAAGGGAGCATCTGAAATCAAACAAAGAGAAAGATTTCATATTGTTGTGAATATGATTGATGTATTTGAAGCAGAAATTGGAACATGTTTTAAAGAAATATTGGAGATTTATCAAACTCATCTTTTGAGATGTTCATTTAGAATAGATGTGTTACAATCTTTCGAATCCTTCATGATGAAACATTTTAATGACAAGAACATTCCAGTTAACAATATGAACTCTATAATATCTGCTCTTTGTAGAATTGTTGATTCCTCTGATTTTGGAACCAAATTATGTTTATGTATTCTAAAGTTAATTCAGACTAACAAGAAAAGTTTGGATTTCACACTATTGCATTTATCCAAGAGAAAAGATCTGGCTCCTATTAATGAATTTATTGAGCAACAGATTGGAAAACTGTCACTAGATGCCAAGTTAGAATTTCTTCTGCCTGGTATTAAACAATCAGATGTTACAGTCAAGCAAAATGCTTTGGAAACCCTTATAGGTATTCTGAGTGAAAATAAGGAAATAATTCAAAGAAAAATTATTTCAATGTTTGAACTTTCAGAGTCGAGTGTAAATAATATTATTAACAAACTTGTTACAGCTTTACTTAAAAGCTGTAGTGATACACAGGAGGTTATTAAATTACTTTCAGCTACTGCTTTAAGTGAAATTGGAGCAATTGATCCAGCTGCTCTAAATATTGGTCCAACCATTGTAGCCAACACTGAAAAGACAGATGTTGAGCTGATAGAGTTAATTTTTGATCATACAGAAGTCAGTCCTTGTAACACTTCTAAAATTAATTTTACAAGACAAGAATTGTTGAAAATAGTTCAAACACTGGATAAAAAGGTGTTTCAAGAAATATCTAAAAAGTACAAGATAACAGGTGATCAAGGCTTGAGAGTATCAGGTACTGAACACGTATACAAATTACCTATATTCAAAGGAAGTCTTACAATCTCCAAGTGGATGGCCTCTTGGGCCAAGTTCTTGATTTCAAAAATGAAAAATTTCAATACTAAAAGATCGGAAATATTTAAAGCTGCAAGACCTATGATTAGTACAGACAAAGTATTAGTGAAAATTATTTTACCCTATCTAGTCCATCATGTTCTACTCTTTGGTCAAGATTCTGATAGAGGTGAGATTGGCACAGAAATAATGTCCGTCATTGATCATGACCTTAAAATGTCAGAGGCTGAAGAACATTCTCAGACAACTGAACATGCTCAGACAATTTTCTGTCTTATTGATGACCTTAAGAGATGGTTTGAAATGAGCGCACCTGAAATGAGGAATCAGAAAGGCCTTCTTAAGGAATCTGTTGAAAAAGCAGAGAAGATTTTAAGAAGTATTTCACTTGGATCCCTTGCTGCAACTGCATTTAATCACTCAGCATTTTATAGATCACTTATGTACTACGAGGAATACATTAGAGACCAAGGTCAAGATTTCAGAAATTTAGACAAGGATATTGGTAATAATCTGCAAAGAATTTATTCTCAAACAAAAGATCGTGACAGTATGGCAGGTTTAGCTTCTATGCGTACCCATTCTGAAATCAATGAAATCCTTTTAGATAAGGAAGTGGATGAGAAATGGACAGATGCAAGAGATCTATATGAAATTCTATTAGAAAATCAAAGCTTAACTCCAGCACAGTTTGATTCCTTATTAAGGTGCTATTTGAATCTTGGACAATACAATACCATGTTCCAGATAATCAATGGATATCCATTTGAAAAGAATACAAAAGCAACATTTATTCTTCAAGCCCGCTGGAGACTTGGACATTGGAGTGAGCTTGATTCTTCATTAGAACAAGTTTCCGTTCCATCTTTTGATACACACGTTGCCAAATTGTTCTCTTTCTACGTTAAAAAGGATTGTAAAAGTTTTGATGAGCAACTAATATATGCCAAAAAGGATATCCTTACATCTTTGTCAGCTGGATCTAGCGAAAGCTATTTAAGATGCTATCCTGACTTGTTAAAGCTTCAAGTGCTATCTGAACTTGAAAGAGGATTCAGAATTTACAACTCTACTACACTACCAGATCTAGAGGAAAAGGAATTAAGTCCAGAGTTAGAGCATTTCCTTCAATATTTGGATAAGAACCTCAAAATCACCACCAACTCATCCTCTGAAAGAGAGTTATTGTATTCAGTGAGAAGATGTATCTTTAAAATTCATAATCTTCCCGAAAATATCAGTGAATTATGGTTGCACATTTCTAAACAAGCAAGAAAAGAAAAACAATACCATATTGCTGAAACGGCTTTGGCAAGATCCAATCTCAATTCTCCACTTTATTCTGTTGAAAAGGCTAAATTATTATACGAAATAGGTGATGTTCAAAAAGCCATACCAATGCTTACAGATTTTCTTAGGAGTGAACAACCAACATTAAGCCATTCAACACAAAAGAAAACTGATTTACTAACAGCTAAGATTAAATTATTGAATGTTAATTGGGATAGAGAACACAAGCAAAAGACAGATGTAGTTAGAGCCTACAAAGAGGTTATAGATATTGACAAGCAATGGGAAGAGGGTTATTTCTTTTTGGCCTCATATCTAGATAAGTCATATAGTGCTGTTCTAAAAAAGGAAGAAAAAACAGCATCAGCAGGCGATCTTAGTATAATTATTCAAAACTATGGTCAATCAATCAAATATGGTGTGAAGAATATCTTTACAGCACTACCAAGATTATTGACATTATGGATGGAACATGAGAGCGTGAAAACATCAGCTAAAGAAACTAGAGTGAATGACGTTATCGTTGAGCTCATTAACAATCTTCCAGACTATGTTTGGGCTATTTCTCTTCCCCAATTATATTCTAGAATATCTCATTTGAGTCATAGTGTTTGTTCAGCCATCAAAAAAATGATTACAAAAGTATTACTAGCATTCCCAGAAGAAAGTATTTGGACTATTGGTTGCAGAAGTGAAAAGGAAGAAAGAAAGAAAGCTATAAAAGAAATAATTGCTACTGCCAAGTCAGCTGATAATATAAGCAATGTAGCTAGGTGTATAATTGAAAATCAAAAAAAGACACTGAGAGGATTTAATGAGTTATGTGAAGCATTTATTCAAAAGCCGGACAAGGAAAGAAAATTTAGCTTGAACATTTTCAAAACTAAAAATGGTAAAGCTTACGATGGAGTGGTACAGAATCCAGAAAAAAAGACTGAGATGATTGCAAGAAAATTCAAGTACTTACCTTCATGTGTTATGAATCCATGCAAAAATTTCATCATACCAATCCAATCACTCATTTCTGTGGAAATTCAAAAAGCTAATATTTTTGATGAGAACCAACACATCAAGACAGACTACTCACCTTATAACTCTTCAAAAGTCTATATCAATAGTTTTCACGAAGAAGGTACTGTTATGAACTCATTACAAAAACCTAAAAAGATTGGAATTACTGGCTCAGATGGAAATCGTTATGATTTCTTATTCAAAGCAAATGATGACATTAGAAAAGACAACAGAATGATGGATCTTAATGCTGTCATCAATAGAATGCTTAAACGTGACAAGAAAACTAGAAATAAGAGGTTGTATCTTAGATTATTCTCAGCCATCCCACTTTCAAATAATACAGGTCTAGTAGAATGGGTTCCTAATACAAATGTTTTGAGAAAACTTATTGATGATGAATATTTAAGAATGCAAAAGCAACCTTTGCAACAATCAATACTAACAAAGTTTGGAAAATCCAATGGTGTTCCACAGAAAAGCTATGGAACAGCATTTGACTATGCAGTTAAGGATTACCCACCAGTTTTTGGTAAATATTTCTTACATCAATTTTTAGAACCAAACCAGTGGTATCAGAATCGTCTCAACTTTGTCAAGACAGCAGCAGTTTGGAGTATGGTTGGATATATAGTAGGATTGGGTGATAGACATAGCGAAAACATTTTAATAGACACCAACAATGGAGATACAATCCATGTTGACTTGGCAATGTTGTTCGAAAGTGGTAGACTATTGAACATACCAGAAAAAGTACCATTCAGATTGACCAGAAATATGATAGATGGTATGGGAGTTACAGGATATGAAGGAGCTTTTAGATTGACCTGTGAAGCAACTTTGGAATTGTTGAGAAAGAATAATGAAACGTTGTTGAATGTTTTAGAAACCTTCAAACACGATCCACTCCTGGATTGGGAACAAATTCAAAAGAAGAAAGAAAACCAAGCCAAGAAAGCCATGAATTCTGCTGATGTAGATTCGGCACACAAAATAATTGGACAAAAACTTCAAGGAATTGTTGGTGATAGTGCACTTCCTCTCAGTATTTCTGGTCAGGTTGATTACTTGATCGATGAAGCAACCAACGAAGAAAACTTGAAGAGTATGTACATCTGGTGGATGCCTTTCCTATAAAATTGTTGTGATTTGTTCCACAATAAAATCCATCATGTTCATTATTAAATAATAATTATGTGATTTTTACTAATTTCCAATTAAATTACAATCAAAGTCCAATAGATTATTTCTTTGACAATTCGAATTCATCAATTCTCTTGTTGACTATTTTAAATGATTCCGTATTATTATGTTATCAAAATAAATAATTACTATTAAAACGCACCGTCATCCATGCTGAGCAAAGTTTCCTTTGGCTTGTTAGCATCAACAGGAACATCCTTCTTCATGTAATCATTCAGGGTAGTATTCATTGCCATTGCGACAACTACAAATGGTAAGAAGAAAATTGGTTTTTCCTTAAGGCGGGCAATCACTGCTTGTGGTGTAATGGCCATTTTTTTATTTTAAATATCGGCTATGCTGTCTTCTGAAAGTGATTTATTATTATTATTCATCACCATTCTACTCTCGAATTTATTATTATTTGTTTTGTTGAGAATGAATTATTATTATTCATCAAATCATGATCAACCGATTAGGCTCTATGCAAATGGCAAATTTGGATAATTTCAAAGTATTTAAAAAAATGTACAAAATGTTAGTAGCCGAATGTTTGGAGGGAAGGTATTTGAAGAGCAGTACAAAATGATGATGAGGAGAGTGTTGAAGAAGAATTCGGTGATGATCACAAGAAGGAGAGAATTTGATTGTTGGGATTGTAGAAAGATTAATTCGAGTAGTAGTAAATTCTTTTCAACATCATCCCGAACAAGGAATGATGAAAAGAATATTGTTGAACAAGTAACAGACTCACCACTTTTGGATGTTAATCTTACTCAATCACGTTCCACTCGTTCATCAATGGTTAACTCAAAACCAAATGTAGTTCTAAATAGGAATATAGTATCACCAATGCAAAATAATAAGCATTTGAAAAAAAAGAATTCATCACCAGAAGAAAAGGATAGGAAAAAAGGTGAGCAAGACATTTCCCTCGTAAAGAGAAAGAAAATAATAGATAAAAAAGTTGAATCAGTCAATGAGGAAAGCAGTTTTGAGGAGTTGTTGGAATTAAAACAGTTCCAAAAGATGAAACCATACACGGGAAAGGCAAGAGATGAAGCTTTGGTCAAGGAATACTTAAAATTTTTAGAAACTTGCCCTAGTATTAGAGATTTTAACAAAAAACTTGATATATTTGCAAAAAAGGAAAGGCATGACTTGTCAGAACCAGCTTTCAAACAATTGTTACATTTCTTAACACATATTGATCTGGAATATTTGGATAGCATGAAAATTCGCATTTTAAAGCCAAATTACCATACTTTTAATATTACAATGATGAGTTATTTAACAGTTGGAGATGTTCCTGCAGTTCATTCTCTTTTTGACTCGATCCCTATCTGGACTGGTATGAAGCCAAGCTATGTAAATTTTGTAACCCTACTAACAGCATATTGCAGAGTTGGTGACTTTAAAAATTTGAATGAACTCTTTAGAAAGTTTATTGATGGCAAGCTAGAGATACAAGAAGGTCTTAATGATCAAAAAGCTATCACCTGTGTCTTTAGTGTTATGATGAAGTCACTAGTGGATAGAGGACAAGTTGCTAAGGTAGAAGAAATGTATCAAACATTTTTGTCTATGAATTTATCACCTTCTCCTTTTTTGTTCAATATTATGCTCAATGTGTATAAGATTAGACAAAATTATGACAAGTGTATAGAAATATATGAATCATATGAATGTCCAGACAGGCACATCACTCAAACAATGTTGATGATCTATGGTAGAATGGGAAAGATTAAAGAAATGGAAAAAGTATTCACCACCATTGAAAAACCAAATGATTTTACTTTTATTTTAATGACAAAAGCTTACTGTGGTGCTAAAATGGAATCTCAAGCAGAGGAATACTTTTCTCGTGTTGCCAATAGAGATGAAAACTTAATTTGCAGAATGATGGAAATGTATGCCAGTAAGGAAAATGTCAAAAAATTGGAACAAATGTTCCTCCTTATTAACAAACCAACAATAGCATCTATTTATATTTATATTGATGGAATCTCAAGATTTGGAAATTATGATAAGGTAAATGATGTGGTAAATTTGATTCCTCCAGAAAAGTACACTGGAAATATTTGGGCATGTCATTTACAAAGTGCTGTAAAAACCAAGTTTGATAATTCAGAACAATATATGGAAAGAGTTCAGTCTGTGTTCTATTCAAAGCCAAAAAACATTTCTTGGAAGGATAACAATTTTGGTTTGAAGCTTTACAAGTTGGCCTTAGGAAAACAAGCATCAGCTCAAAAAGCCAAACAAAAGGATGCAGTAAAGCCAATTACAGAAATTTACAAAGAGTTTGCAGAAAAGAAAGTAAAACTTGCATTGGATGGTGTAGATGAAGGCAAATTCCAAACAAGAGATCGTTTCCACGAACAATTTGCCTTAAATAATGATTCCATTTATAGACCAGATTATGTTTCGCCTTATGAAGCTTTCTTGGATGGTTATTACAAAAAGAAAAAAGATCCAACACACAACGACATTGATTAATTGGAATAAAATTAAGTTTATTGGAATTGTTTAGAGGTCATCATCATAGCTTTGCGCAAGTTCATTTACAGCAGATGGACCATCCAAACCTGGAACTGATTCACGCAATTGTCGTGATTCAATTTCTTTCTTTTGCTTCTCTTCAAAGTACAAATCGCTTACATCAACATCTTCACCTTGATATTCTCTGAGTGTGACCAGGAAGTCACGCAAACAATTGGTGAATTCTTGTTCTTGATGAATGTATCCAAAGAGGGCAACAATAAATTGAGTTAAATATTGGGAATTGAGATTGCTGAAAGATTGAATTAAAACATCATGAATATGTTGTTTGACAAACACATCAGTTGATACAGTTTGTCCTTCTGAGATTGGTGCAGTAATCTTATTTGTTGCAACAACATAGAGCAAGTGATGAATAATGGTTGTTTGAACCTTGAATCCAGATTGATGCAAGGTATCGGTGTAAATATAAAGAACGTCATCAAGGATTGGAAGGTAGAACTTTCCATAAAATTCATTTCTCAAACCATCATTATTGAGATGTTCAATGTTGGAAAGCATGTCTTGTAAAATATTAAGACCAGTTTCGAACATATTTCTGTGGGTATGTTTGAGAGCCCATAAAATTGAATCAACAATCAATTTGAAGCCCATAGGAGGAATGTGGAGGAAAGATTGGAAGCAGTATTTGTTGATAGACTTCAATAACACAAAGAGATTCATTCTATGTTCAGGATAATCTTCAAAATTAGTGGTAATCATTGGAAGAGTACATTCAAGAACATATTCCAAGATTGTAGGCAAATAATGGTCAACAGCTGTTTGCAATTTAACCATAGAAGCTGATAATAATGACAAAACTTGAGGATCCTTTGCGTCTGGAACACTAGCCTTGTAATCGCCAAGTGTAGCATCCAAAAGAGGAGGTAAAAATGATGTAACTAATAATTGTGTGTCATCAGAGTTAGCAATAAATGTTTCAACAAGTTTAAGAGTTTCTCTCTTTACAGCTCTCATCATTCTGACATTGGAGTGAGTGGCAGCCTTTACACCAATCTTTGCAATTTCATCAGAAATAAATTGACTGTATGCCTTGTAAACGTTTAACATGTCTTTGAAAATAATTTTCATTTGATGAAGGTAGGCGTTACCTATCGATTTGCTTGCAGAGACATTGGTCTTGAGAATGTTTGCCAATTCTTTCAATACAGCTGTATCAGCAAGAGTAGCAACATTTTGGGCGGCCATATTCATAATAGATTGCCATTTAGAGTTTGGCATTGACATCAACATTTGAATAAGTCTTTCTTGATCGGCTGGTAAAGCAGCTTGGATCATATAACCAACAGCTTCATAGAAAGTGTGGATGTGGGATGGTTCCAAATCAGAGATATTAGACTTGAGATTTCTCAAGATCTTTTCCAAAAACATGACATCTTCTCCTTGGTGACGTTGAACAAATTTTCTCTTACACTTGATAGAGATTTTAACAAATGTTTCACAGGCCATTTCTTGGACTCCAGGGAATTTTTCATGCATAAATTCAAATAATTTGTTAACAACAGTTTGCAAAAACTTCCAGTGGGCAATCAAGAATCTAGGATATTGACCTACAACATACATAATGTTAGATGCAACAACAGCCTTATTGTCTTTACCCTTTTTCATTTCGCACATATTCAATAAATCCTTGATCACAGTAACAACAAATCTCTTTTCGTCCTTTTCATCCATAGCACCAGAGATAGAACCAATAGCCCAACACAAAGTGTTCAAGTTTTGCCTAGACCATTCATAACCATTAGCTTGAGCACGGAGTTTTTCCAACATGATTTTTTCTGTATCTACATAATCCAAGTGAGTCAAATAAATTAAAGCATCACGCATACTCTTATATAATTGAATGGAATCTACATCTTTCATATATTCCTTTACAACTTGTCCATTTTCGTCCTCAACAATAATAACCTCTTCTGGTTTTGCCATCTTGGATACCATTACTAATCTAACTTGTGACATAATTCTCGAGTAAATTGCTTTTCTAGCAGATGCTGGTCTTGTAAGAAGTAATGGTTCATAAATATTTGATTGAGATGCCTTCTTTTCGGAGAAGTATAAATCACGAGAGAAGTAAATCCAATAGTCCAAACAATTTTTGAAAATTTCAGTTTCATCTACTTTAGAAATTTCAACAAGATATTGATGTGCTTCGAGCACAATCTGAGAATGTTGATCCTTTTCAACCACACCCAAATGGTTTGTAAGGAATGATGTAAAGAACAAACCCAAAATTTGAACAAACTTTTGATCATAATCAGATCCATTCTTATAAGCACTTGGCAAGTTTGTGTTTGGTGGAAGAATGCTTGGAATAACCCTCATAATAAAAACAAATATCAATTCAAATTTTTCGTCGTATTTTGGTTCGACCATGCTGACAATTTCTGTTAAACATCTCAGAGTGTCATTTCTAAATTGCTGTACAGGTAAGAATTTTGTAATAAGAATTTCGAGCATTGATGTTTCAAAAATAAATTCACGAGGGATCCAGTTCAAAAATCTAAGTAATGTTTGAAGTGTTGCTGATAATAAAGATGGCTTTTGTGCTTGTTGGAGAATAGCATCACACAATTGATAAATAAGTTTGAATTCGGAACGGAAACTTTCACTCATTTGTGTCATCTTTTTTGTTGTCATTTTACCAGCAGAAAAGTCAAATACTTCTTCACTTAACAATTTGAGAATATTCATGTTATTTTCGCATAAATTTTCATTAGATGGACTCGAGTTGACAATTTCTGGAATAAAGTTTCGCCAATTTTGAGGCCATTCTTGTTTGACAATAGCTACAAGTACTTCATTAAGCTTGTTGATAAAAAGTTTGTGTTGTCTGAAATAGGTTTCATCCTTTGAACAATTAATAACAGTGAGTACTATAAAGTTTTTAACACCATCCCTTTCATCTGGAGGCAAAATTTTCCATCTTGTTTGAATAACTTGTAATAATACTTGGAGCGCAAAGAATTTAGAATTTTGATTATTTGAAGTTTCTAAAATTTGTTTAACTCTTGTCCATGAATTAGGATCGTCTTTAAATTGACTCAGCACTTTTTGTGCCATTTGGATCTGTTAATTGTTGGTATCATCGGATTAAAAGTAAACTTACCTCTTGAATGTTTCCTCTGCTGGAATACAAGCAATCAATAATTTGATCCAAAAGAGATACATTAAACGGAGCATTAAAGTCCAAAAGTGCTTCCATTCTTTAAACAAAATTTTGATTTTTAAAATTTATCCTTTCTTTAAACCAATTGTGTTAAAATCGCTATTTATAATTTATAAAGACAATACTGTGATGATGAAACTCTAGATAGGTAGCACAACGGAGAGAGTATTTCCTATCAATCACTCTAATATTTTTTTTGCAGTTTTTTTGTTTTAAATTAAAAATAATTATTTGTCAAACTTGCTGGTTTTCCTACAGAAGGAATTCAAACAGAATTTTTGTGGCGGGAAAAGTTGGCCAGAGCAAAATATTTGTTGATCTGTTTGATTTAATATTTATGCCTAAGCAATAAGGATCATCAGTTTGCATTATTAAGAGTCCATCTATAAGAGCCCTATTTTCGAAAATAAATGTTAGGAGTATTTAGCTTGGAACTACTTATTAAGAGGACCATCTGGCATTATTATACGAGAAAATCTTCATCCTTCAATGCTATAAATTCATATACTTTGATTTAAGAGTTAATGAAGAATCCTAAAGACATTTGGCGTTAACACTTATACATAACAAAAAATCAACACAACATTATAGTTTCTTGAATCAAGGCAATTTGATTTCTTTGAGTCTTAATGCAAGAATTCCTCCTCAAATAAGGCAGAGACTGAAGAAGACTGAAACGCCCCTTTCAGTCCTATCACAAATAAAGGCATATCACACACAAATTACCATCTTATCAAATCCAACTCGAATTAAAAACTAGCTACTAATGGCCAACAACTTTTTGAAAATGTTCGTATCAACAATAGCAACAAGGTGGAACAAGGTTTGACATGATTCCCTTTTCAAACAAAATACCGTACCTTTTATTTTGCATGCAAGTGGTTTATAATGATACAAGAACAGTGCAGCACCAAACATCAACAAATAACTCCAATTCATCAACATCAAAACATCACCATACGAATAACCAAACATCAACAAATAACTCTAATTCATCACAAAAGTTCTTCGTCATAAGTAATACAGAGTTTGCCAACAATCAACATCTCTTTACATACCGCCAACAAAAAACAACATGTCCAAATCACCTTCTCTCTTCTAATAATTGCCAACCACTACAAAATTCTAGTAATCCCCAACAGAACATTTACCACATCCAATCTTCTTCCATTCCATGTAATAATAACAGCCACAATAATACCACCACCTTTCAACCATACATCATTCCTTTCAATAATAATAATATGAATAATCAACTAGTTTCCTCTGATGACAACAACATCATACACATCCCTTCGAATATTTCAACCGATTCGAATTTACAACCACTACCAAATAGCACCTTCCTAGATGCTCAATTAGGCCAAAAACTGTATCCTCCTTCATTAAAACCATTTACTATTAATTACAGTTGGGATGGTCTTTTACCTCTCACACCAATATCAGCAGATGAACTCAATAGTGAATGGGAATTATTTCAATTTCATCAGCAAAAAACTAAAGAACATCATCTCAACAAAGAAAGGAAACTCACTCAAATATTACAGCAAATTTCTCAATTATATGGGCAACATGGAGCAGTTGTCGTTCTTCAATCACTTGTTTCAAAACTAAACAATTCGAATAATGGAAAACCTGTTTCAATATCAGAGTTAATATCAGCTCCAAATTTCCATGTCTTGTTGGATAATATTGGTAGAATTTTGGAGGCCAAAAAAACTTACTCTCAATAATTCCAATTAATATTTAGGAAATCTTTAAACTAACTCAATAAATTGTAAACCCTAATTTATTCTAAAATTCTTTTAGAATATTCGAATTATTGTTTACAAAAATAATAATAAAAATCGATTGTTCTATTTTAATTGAAGTGTGTATCTGTGTATCATTTAATACAATGCCGCCATACAAACTACAAATAATTTTCATCAAAAAAAAATTCAATCAGCATTTATTGAGGACCGTTTTGCGGAAAGAAATAATAATCACGAATACAACATAATAGAAAATGGACCTCGGTGATAGGAATGTAAAGAAGAACCCCTCTTCATTAAAATCAGTTAAAAAAGGTTCTTTTGCTTCTGGGGGAGAAAGTTTTAAATTAGAGAGAATTATCGGAAGTACTGTCCTCAATTCGCAATCTTTTAAATTGCATCCGTCATTGTTTCCTACAAGTGGAGCTCTGCCATTAATGATCGGAGGTAATAGCAGCATGAATTCGGAAGTGGTTGCATACTTGGCAGGCACTATTGTTGTAGTTTATAATGTTAAGAGGAATAAGCAACTTAGGTTTTTAGAACATCCAACATCAAACAAGGCTTTCAATTGTATTGCATTTTCGAAATGTGGTCAATATTTAGCAGCAGGTGAAAAAGGACCAAAACCATCAATTGTTGTTTGGGACCTACATCAAGTGTTTGCTCAAACATTTGAAGAAACAAAACCAAAAATTTTCAGTGAACTAAAGAGCAAAGAAAAAGGTCATCAAAATGAAGTCAAGAATATTTGCTTCTCAAAAGATTCCAAATTAGTTTTAAGTGTTGGCTTTGAAAATGAATTGAAAATTTGGGATATCTCAGCTGGAGGAAAGGCCGAATTGAAATTTTCAAAAACTGTTGATGAAACAAATGATTTAATTCTCTCACCTAGTGACGATAATGGATTTATTACTGTAGGAAAAGGATTTGTTAGATTTTGGTCAATTTCTAGATCAGCAAAACTTTTCTCTGTTCAATCAGTCTCGACAAACCTTGATGTTTGGAAGCAAGCTAACTTTGTTTCTATTGCCTTCAGAGGAAAGTAAGTAATTAACCATATCCCTTCTCTTTAACAATCAAAAGAAATGACACTGCTGAGGTTTATGCTGTCACAATGGATGGTATTTTATGTAAAGTAGATCCAAAATCAAAGGAACTTCAAAGTTGGGTCAATATCAAAGTTGGGAGAGCATACTGCGTTTCAGTTGCAGAAAAATATGTTGCCATTTCATGTGCTAAGGGTGTTGTAAGATTGTTCGAGACAAAAACTTTACAATTCAAGAAAACTCTTCCTGAACCTCCTCCATCTACAGCTCACATTACATTGAGGAGCGTATTTTCGAGCGTTAATAAGAGTTACATCAAACCAACTTCTTCTGAAATAGATGCCCCTAATGCTATTGTTTGTGGAATATTCGGAGATAAGATTTCTGTAATGTATGATGATAGAAGCTTCTTCGTTTGGGACATTTCAAATCTTCAATCTATCTGCAAATACAGATCATTCATTAGCCATTCTGGTTGCATCTGGGGAGCAGATGTTCTTCCAAGAAATTCAAAATCCCCTTTCCCTCAAAACACTTTTGCAACATGCTCTGCAGATAATACTATTAGATTTTGGAATTTAGAAACTGGTGAGCAAGAGGAAAATATCAGATCTTCTGTTGCTGGCAAGAGTGCATTCTGTAAAGATCTTCTTGCCGTTCTTCATATTCCACCAAATGACAAGACTGTTGAAGGAGGTATTAGAAGTGTTAGATTCTCTCCAGATGGTTGCAATATCATTTCAGGAGACAAACAAGGACATGTCAGAGTGCATGACGTATTCAACTTTGATTCCAAGTATGACGAATTTGCTCATGAGTCTGAAGTTCTTTGCATTGATTCCTATCAAACACAAAATGGGGACGTTTTGTTTGGTTCTGGAAGTAGAGATAGAATGATTCACTTATACAGAATGAAAGATGGAAAAACTGAAGTTGTTCAAACATTGGATGATCACAGCTCCTCTGTGACGTCAATTAAATTCACTCTCAGCACTCAAAAACCAACTGGTGATTCCCTTAAACTTGTGAGTGTGGGAGCTGATAAGTCGGTAGTTTTCAGAAGAGTTGAAGATGTCCCTCAAAAGAAATCCGTTAGAGTTGTCAGATACCAACAAACACCCTCTCCATTCTCTGTTTTCGATCTTGACGCTGATGTTACTGGTAAATGGGCTGTTACTGCTGGTCAAGGAAAGAAGATTAATATTTATGACATTGACTCTGGTAAATGTAAACAATATATTGACACAAAAGATCCAAAGCCAGTTAAGACTGGTTGTGATAATGCTGATCCACTCAGAGTTAAGCTTTGTCCTGCAGGTATTTTAGCTGTTACAAGTGCTTCAGATAAGCATTTGAGAGTTTACTCATTCTACAAAAAGGTGTCTATTGCAAGAGTTAAAGGTCACTCTGACGTTATTACTTCAATTAACTTTACTCCTGATTTGAAGAGGTTAATTACCACTTCAGCTGATGGCTGCATATTTATCTGGAGTATTGGAACCAAATTGTCTAAGAACATGCAAGAAAGGCTTTCAGAAATTGAAAAGATTGTTTCGACCCCAGTCCCTCCAATTCCACTTCCAAAGGAAACTATTGTGCCTATTCAATTGTCAAAACTGGAGGAAGAAATTAAATCACCAATGATAGACTTTAACTTACCTTCTCCACCTTCTTCAAGAGGATTGGCTTCCTCTGATTTAGTTAAATCACTCAGCAAACAATTTGATCTTGGAAATAAGGATGAACAACCATCACAAACTGAAGAGAGCTCACCAAGTTTATCACATTGGACCAAGAACTCCTTGTCTCCAAAGGTCTATGAAGACGATAAGTTGCAACCATTATCAAAATGGGGACAAGTGGAGAGAGATGGATTCAAGTTGGCATCAAATATTAGTGATACGGAACGATCTCTCACCTACAAAAGACCAGTTCTTCCAATTATTATTCACCACGATGACGATCTTGTCAACTCTGAGGAACATATACTGGAGGAGTCTGATACTGAAAGTTTGGATCTAAGTGATGATGATGTATCGGAAGAAGAAATTATCTTTGATTCAAATGAAAATTCAGCAGATACCAGCTTCCAGGTTGCAGAAAATGAACATGTTGCAGAAATTTCAATTGAAAAGGCTCCATTGGAAGAAGTCAATGATGTAAATATTATATCTCAATCTGACAATGTTTCTGAGTCTATCGAACTTGGAGATTTAGAAGCAGCAAGCGATGATGAAGATAGTGAAGATGATGAAGGAGAGTACTCAAAGATGGTATCTAAGCAATTGGAAGAAGATCTTGTAAAACCTTTAGCAATACCATCATTTATGAGAGCTAGTATCAGCTCTTCGTTCAAACACTCAATGGAGTTGGCTAAAGTTGAGCAATCTGCAGAGAGATTTACTTTAGATTCTGTTGTCAAACAACTCAGGGATGAATGTGAGACTAGTCTCAAAACCGACGAGATAAAACCAGCCTTCAAGGTTTCAAAGGAGGAAATCAACAAGAAACTTAATGACTTTAAAGAAGTTCTCTCCAAGCATGAAGTTGCTGAAGAATCTGAGGACGAAGAACCAGAACAAGATGAAGAAATGCTTCAAATAATGAATGCTGCACACACAGCTGAAGAAGAGATTGCTTCCATTCCAGTTCCTAAGAAAACAAGTCCAGTTGTAAATAACAACTTACCAAATCCTATATTTAACTCCCCTCAACTGGCCCTCACTTCTTATGATGACACTGTAGAGTATGGAAAAACTGAGGAAACAAGACTCGATCAGTCTGACATGGTTCAAATTCATTCTCCAAGATTGGATTCTGTTGGAAAGATAAAGAATAATATCGCCAAATTAACAAGCGTATTTGAGGATACTATGCAAGAGATGGAAAAACTATCAGTATCCCATTCTGAAACATCATTAGAGATTCTTTCTTCGTTCCAGAAAATGGTTGCTCAAATGAATGTCAGAATGAGCCAAAGTGCTAGTATGTCCAATAGCCATTCTCAATTTGTATTCCCATCAGTGAGTGGTTTGGACTCGAGTAACAATAACCTTAATTCAACAGATTTAAAGCAAGTTGAAGTGTCTGATATGTTAGAAAGATACTCATCTGTACTTGTTGACTATATTATGAAGAAAGTTGACAAGCAACAATTCAATAAACCTTAATCAACTAATGTAATTTATTAAAACACTGGAGGACCACCTGGTATACTTATATTTCTTGGTGTTTTCCCATCATTTGCCATAACTGGTACAAGTGCTTCTGGATTTGCTGAGCACCAGTTCCTGAAGTTTTGACATTGTAAAACATTTGACCTTTTGCCAACTCCTCTTGCAGAATTCTCATCTTCTTTTCTTCCCATCTTTTCTTGGCTTCTTCTTGATGTTTCAACATTCTTGTCATTGCGGATACTTTGATTTGGGCTGGTCTCGATTCTTTTGGAGGCTTTGGAACAAATGGTTGGGAAGCACTTTTGTAGTTTCTGTCTCTCTTAACTGGTGAATTTGAGCCGTGAGAGGATTCTTCCAAACCCTTAACCTTAACCTTATATCTGTACTGCTTCACTGTATTATAAATCTTCATCATTAACGCAGTAATGGATTTACTCAATTTAGATGGGTTTCTCTTTGTTTTGCTTTCGTCCTCTGTTTCTTCAATTAAGAAGTTCAGCTGATCTCTGACGGCCTCCCTGTGAGAAACACCAGCACCTCTTCTCTTTGGAGATATTGGACTTGATCTTGGAGAGTTGCAAGGAGATTCAGCTCCATTCTTTGACTTTTTAGCCTTTATACTCTTGTCAATCTTCTTGTTTAGATTAATCCAATCTGCCAAGAACTCTTCCTCAGAGTATTTAGAATTATTCGGTCCTTTCATATTTGTGAAGAAGTTCAAGAAAGAGAGGAATTTTCTAATCTTCTTGTGCATATAGTAAATATAATCTATCAATCTATCAGCCTCCATAAGAATAATGTTAATTATGTATTTTAGCTCGTCTGAATCGTAAATGTCTTCAATTTCTCGAAGAATTTCGCTTGTTGGTTTGAATTCTTCAGTGGCCCCTTTGAATAATGAAATGTTAGAAACATCAAAACTGGAAGTGCCACCTTCTTCGATGCCCATACCTGTAGCATCACCCTCTCCTGTTTGTTGAGATGGATCTCCCTTATTCATCTTTGCTTTGGCCACCCTCAGTTTCTTAATTTCAGTGTTCAATTTCAATAGATCTGCCTCTGCACGTTCTTTATCCATCAACCATTTCCTTCTCTCGTTATCCATTCCTCTTAATTCAAGATTGTCCTGCCTATTATCTGGTGCCTGCCCAATCATTGAACCATATCTTCCTCGATTAGGTCGTTTTGCTTCAAACCCACCATAATCTGTTGGATAGGATCCCTGGTTATTATTGCCAGTAACAGGATTTAAGTTACTTGAATTAATATTGTGTTGTACTCCTGAAGGTTGTTTTCCATTGTTCTGAGTTTGATTTGAGTAGTGTTGAGCATGTTGATTTGAGTATTCTTCTTTTAACATCTTACTTAACATTGCATGTTTCTCTTCTTGTTGTGTTTTCATTACGTGGAAATCTTTAACTGTTTTACCAAGATCAGGATTTACTAATGAAGATGAGTCAACTCCTTTTTCTACGAGAATACTCTTAAGTCTATCAATTTCTTCAGTTAATTTTTCTATAACAGAAGCAGCCATCTTACTTTGATGTTCTTGATCTTCCTCTTTCATGTAGTGAGCTTCTTCCATGTCGATCAATCTTTGAAGTTCATTAGCATCAAAGTCTTGAGATCTCATTCTATCATTTTCCATTCGTTTCACCGTCTTGAATAAACCATCTGCAGTCAAGTAGAGTTTTAATTCAGCAGGGGTAAACTTTTCAAGATCAACTGAACCAGGAATGTAAGGGAATTCCTTCTTATCCAACTCGTAATTATAACAATTGTCCAACATCCAAACATGACTAATATCAGTTCTCTTTGTCTCTGCCTCTCTCATTTCATCTTCATAATCGTCCATATCGAACTCTAGAGATGAAGTATCAAAATCGTCATCCAAATCTTCATCAGCATTAACAGTACCATCTTTTTTCTTTTTTGTTTTCTTTGTATCCCCTTCCTCAATATCGCTAGAATCTGAAAGATCTGCGTTGTTCTTTTTCTTCTTCTTTCGGTTACGTTGTTGAATTTCTTCATCATCTGAAGTATCCATATCTTGGTAAGCAGCTGTTGCCTTTAGGATCTCATAGTTTGGTTTGAGAAGCTCTTCATCCTCAGTAAAACCTTCATTAATTTGTCTTTCAATACTATCCAAATCCAACTCTTCATCTGATAAGCCACGTCTTCCTGTTAAAATAAATCCAATATCTATAATATTTTTCACTTCTGGAAGCTTAAGCCTGCTCAAAATGCCTTTCAGCATGCCTTGTTGCTCATTATACCTATCTTTAAGTTTGGCATAGAATTCCACATGTCTCTTGTCTCTTTCAACAAGAGCAGTTATAAACTTTTCCTTATCTTTTAATTTTGTCTTGAGAGAAACAACAGCACTATTTGCCCCATCCAAATCAGTGATAGAATCTCCAATATCAGTTTCAATCTTTTTAAACTTTTCAGTGATTTTTTTGAGGAATGATTTTCTCTTCTCTTCATCCTTAAAAGTTTCTGCATTAAAGTCCAACAACGAGAACCTCATTATTTTATATTCTTCAAAAATAGATTTCAATCTTTCTAGTGTTAAACCAATGTTTTCCTGTACATTTCCTAAAGGTTCCAATACATTTTCATTTTGAAAATCCAGCATTCCCTCGATTTCTTGCATTTCCTCTTTGTCTTCCGTAAGAATATCTCCATCTTCATCATATGATCGAATCCAACTCATAATACCTTTCAAAATATTTGTCCTACTGCTATATCGTTGATCCAAGTCTTTTGTTACTTCCGCTATTCTATCTCTACTTTGGTTAATCACTCCAACTCGGTCCACTTGTTCTTTGAATACTAAATCTGAAATGTCATCTACACTTAAAAACTCAACTTCACTATTATTATTTTGAGCTGTTTCATAATCTTGGAGCAGGATATCAATTCTTGATAACCCTTGCATCATTTTTTCAGATTTGGTTTGTCTTGATCTTAATAACTCGGTTAATCTCTTCTTCTTTAATTTCTTTAATTGACCAGGGAGAAGAGTAGTTGATAGATGAGCTAATTCTTCAGAAACTCTTCTCTCCAGTTTTTCATATTCAGTTTTTGTGATTTTGTCCGTCATTGGTATATCTAGGTCAGTTTGATCCATAATATCTCGAAGCATGTTAGATTTTGGTTGGTATTTTGTTGTTGATCTGGAGCTGTCATTAACAATGAGAATTTTGATTTGGTACTTTTCGTCATCATAAGAGGTCAACAACTTTTGAGGTTTTGATAAATTTCCTATTCGTGGTGTATCCATATAATCGGTTGAAAATTCGTCTTCGAAATTTGTTGGAAATCCTCTTGCTGATTTTGGTGATTGACTTCTTTTCTTTTTCTCTTGTTTTCCTTTCAGTAAAGGAAGACTTCGTTTGTCATCAAAAAAGCTCGAATTATTTGTTCTTATAGAGCTCTCATCTTCTGTATTTTCCATCATTGATTTATTCTTTGCCTCGAATTGTTTCTTTATAATTGGGGAAGTGCTTTCCTTGTATTTGTTTAATTGTTCCCTTACAGCAGATGGAGAAGGTGATGGAGCCCTATCTTCTGAGGCTCGCATCCTTCCATTCTGTCCTCCTTTTTTATGTAATAGAAAAGGTGATACTCTTCCGGAGAGAAGATCTGATGATTGAGGTCTTGTTTGTTGAGTCCTAAATGAAGCAACTGATGATGGTGTTCTTACTGCTAAACCTTTTTGATAGTGTTGGGAAATCGTTGGATATGGATCCATCTTTTCCCTATCACTAATTGAAGAAAGGTTGAGAGGTGATGGTCTTGTCATGCTCGTGTTGTTGTTGTTGTTAGTGTTATTGAGAAGACTGCTCAACGATGCATTATTTTGCGATAATTGGAACGAGCGTGCAGTTTGACTCATTTTATTCTATAAAAAACCTTAATTCGTTAAAATCGTAGATTGGTTTTTTTGGCGTCAAGAGAGTTCTGCCTTCCTGATTTGTGGTTGTAAACATGTTACCCTTATATCATTATTTACGTTCTTGTGGTAAAGTTTGAGAGGGAGTGATGGTTTGTAACAAAAAATCTCTATTTTACTTGCTTGCTTTGGATTTGAAATTAACAAACTCAAACTGAGCAGCTGCATCTGTCGAAGGATCTTTCTTTTTCTTTGGTTTTGGACCTGGTTTCTTTCTTTCCTTAACAACTGGTGCTGTTGTTGTGGCAGTAACTTTTGATTTCTCAACTTCTTCCTTCTTTTGAGAAGGTGTTGTGCTGGTTGGTGGTTCCATTTGAGTTTGTTGTTGTTCCATAAACATTGAATTTTGCACTTGAGGAAGAGCTATCTTACTATTCTTCTCAAAGAGTTGTTGCTTTCGTTTTTCGATGGCAGTCAATGTTGCTTGATTTGGTTTTGTCATACAAGGTGGAAGAGCAAGCTTTAGAGTGTTGATCTTTTGAAGGGCTGATAATCTACGTCTGGCAAGTAGCTCACACTCAATATATAAGTGATATTCCATTCTCAAATTAATAGAGAGAAGATATTTCATTTGTTGTTTTTCCAATTGGACAGTAGGGTGATAGCGGCCATTTCTTACTCTTTTTACAAACTTTGATAAATCATTTTCATGATTGAATAGGAATGGAGTTTTGTTAAAAAGTTGAGTGAGAGTTTTTACAAGCAATGGTGAATCTGTTGATTTCTTAGAATTACATGTTGAATCGTTTTGTTTTGAGGATTGAGAAAGTGATGATGTTGAAAGATTCTTCTTGTGACGCATTCCACTTCCATTCATCAATTCTTGCCATTCTTTTTCTTCTGCTTCTCTAGAAGTAAGCTGCTCTTCTTTTACTTCTTCGACAGTGGTGGTAGGTTTTGGAATATTTTCCTCAATAGTTTCGTTATGTTGATGTGATGACTCGTTTGACTTCGATGTTAGTAATGGAGGTAAAAACTGTTTCAAAAACATCCTATGTTCCTCCTTTAGCACATTATTCCAAGTATTCATACTAAATATTGTTTTAAATAAATCAGGATTTTGAATCAACTCAATTGGTATCAGTGCATTCATTCCTTGAATAGATACTGGTTCGTAAACTTGTTCTTTCGTATTTTTCATTTCCACATCCTCGACTTCATGTGCAGAGGAGTGGAGAATAAATTGATTCTCCTGATTAACAGCATCGAGATATGTTGTACATTGGATTGAGTTGCTCTTCTCTGCCCCATTCACCTCTGACTCTTTTACAAAGCACCATGGAATTCCCACCAATTCATCCCTTAAAATTTCATGATTGTAATTCTTTCCATAAAATAAATCTTCAAAAGTTATTTCTTGAAAAATTAACAGTCAAACTTACCATTATCATCCAATTTCTTCTTAATAGATCGTTCATTTCTATCCATGAAAAATAACTTGTCATCATCCTCAGTTGCATAAATTGTAAGATCCAAGTTTTGATCTGTGGGCTGCTCTACTATTTGTGTCTTGCTCTTAGCTTGTTTCTTTTTTGGAGAAATTATATCTGAAACTACTGGTTCCGATGTGTTGACTTCTCTCTTTTTTCTTTTCTTCTTTCCTTGAGTTTCTGTATCTTTTGTGGTAGTTGCTGCAGTAGAGGCTGCTGCTTCCTTATCCTTTCGTCTGGTGTACTTTCTTTTAGTTCTTACTGGTGGCTCTGTGCTACTAGGAGTGTTTGCTGAACTATTAGTTGAACTATCAGTGGCAACAGGAGTTGAGCTCGTCGTTGTTGTATTGGTTGAAGAGCTAGTGGTAATACTTGGTTGTTCCGATTGTACCACTGGTTTTGGTGGTGGCATAATTGCTTGATCTTTTTTAGCATCACTTACAACCTTTTTTTCCTCTTCCACAGTTTTAACAGTTTGAGTTTTGGATTGAGTTGTTTCCTTATTTTCCCTTTTTTCTTTTTTTTTAGATTTCTTTTTCTCCTTCTTGTCATCCTTCTTTTTTGCTGATGTTGATTTTTTAGTTTTACTCTTCTTTTTCTTTTTTAGTTCAGAATCAGAAGCAGAACTATAGGAGTCTGATGATTCAGAGTTACTACTATCATCACTACTCGAATCTGATTGATCACTTGAATTACTACTATAACTTGGCAAATCCTCTTCGGAATCATATGCAGTTGCTGCTTTTGGAATTGTAGTGGTTGTAGGTGGTGTGACTGGTGTTGTTGCTGTCGTGGATGGAGATTGAGAAGGTTTGGCGGTAGGAAATGGAGGAAGAGAAGGAGCAGAGGACATGGTTAAAAATCCTTGATTCACAGTTTTTGGCCCGGGCATAATTGGTGTGATTCCTTTCAGAAGAGAGGCTGAATGCATTGGAATGAATGATGTGGCAAAGAATGTAGAACCTGTATTTACCGATGTATTATCATCATTCTTTTTAGTTTTCTTCTTTTTAGTTGTAGTGTTTCCTGTTGTCTTCTTTGTTGAAGCTTGTTGAGAAGGATTGGCATTCGAAACTGTTGATGATCCGGGTATTGCTGATGATTGTATATTATTTGATGATGAAGATTGATTTTTAGTACTCTTTGATGATGTATTTCCACCCGAATTTGAACCCATAGAGTTACGCCATATCGAAGACATTTTTTGTGTTTTTTAATTCCAAAATTTTAATGGAGCCATCAAAGTTGAATAACAATAATCAAACAAATGTGACACAATGAATTGGCGTGATTTAAATTTGAATGCACTCAATAATAATACTGAGATGATTCACTTTTTTTTATTCCATTAATCATTCACTTTATAAATCTTAATATAGAAAGAGATGAAGAAGGACCAACTGTCCATAACGTTATTATTTACACCACATAGAAAAAAATCCAACACAAAGATGCCTACCATAGTCACTGTTGGTGCCGATGAAGATGATGAGTATTTTGATGAGGAGGAGAAGGCGAAAATTCTTCAAGAGGAGAAGGCCTTCTCCACTAGTATGAATAGTTCAACATTTAACGAAAATTTACAAGCATCGGAACTAATTGGAAGTAAGGTTGATGAAATTGAAGAAGGAATGGATGCTGAACAATTCATGCCAGAGGTGCGAGAGTCTTTTGATATAATTAAAAACAGAATAGAAACTTCTATTGGAGGAATTTATGGAATTACAGCGGATGTTATTGAGGATGAAGA